TCGAAGTTCGTTTAAAAATCAGGGAGAAGGTGGAATTTAGTCGGTGAGAGATTAGCATTAACAGTAACGATGAATTTCGTTCGTGGAACCGTGGAGAAACGAAAGTTTCTAGCAATCGTTACGTTATTCGTCGAATTTGGTTTACTGCTTAGGATACCGTGCCGGGAATAAAAAGATCGAAAGGAAATGAATTCCGAACAGGAAGTTAACAGCTAGTTACTCGAGGTGGAGCGGCTAGTTAATAGAAGCGAAAAGAAACCCGGAAAGCACCGGAACACCTCAGGTAACCCAATTAGTCCAGCTCGAAGAAAAATGTAAACTTCAAATTATGAATTTCTTTTGGATCTTCTGGCGATTTCACTCCTCTCGACAATCACCGACGACCCGGTTCGAACGTGTTCATAAATAAATCTTTCTCGGAATTTTCTGCCAGTCTCGCTTAAAAATTTCGTAACAGAACCGCACCATCTTGGAGACAATGTGCGACTTCGACCCAGATTCAAAGGATTTATCGTAAACCCCATCATTTTTCCTTCCATTTCTTTCGCTAAATTTTACGTTTTCATGGAATAGACGTGGTTGACCTGAATCGTACCGAGAGGAAAAACTGGCAATGACGAAATCACGAATTAATTTGCGCTTCTAGCCGCTTAATGAACGAAAGATTAAACGAGATCAAAAGGAAATTCCCTACGACAACCGTCTACGTTAAATGGCACGTAGAAAATAATAAAATGTTAATACTTCCGACGAAATAAGAATATCCGTATGAATGGAAATGTTAACACCCAAAGATGCAAACCTTAATGTTAACAAAAATATTAACACCGGCATTAACAAAAATGTTAATACTGATATTAATAAAATACCAACATCGGTATTAACAAAAATGTTAGTACTGGTATTAACAAAATGTTAATACTGGTATTAACAAAATGTTAATACTGGTATTAACAAAAATGTTAATTGGTGTTGTACTAAAAAATTATTTGAAACGATTAATTTGCTAGAATTATGTACAAAGGCGTTAATAGTAGTTACACAATACTATCGCCATTATTAATGCTACCGCTATAATTTAATAAGCACAGATAGTAGATTAACTGCAGCACGTACTTAGCTACGTATAGCGGTGAATATGTTAAAAGACAACCGAACTGACGAGACTAATTGTAAGCTCAAGGAAAGGCTGTACGTCGCAAAATCTCCAGGAGGCAATGTCGGTGAAGAATTGTTCCTAGGGCACACGTGTGCACGGTGATGCACATACGTGGCGATCTCCCATCATGCACGAGAATGCAACGACGCAGAGTAGCGAAAAAACGAATCGCTGTGACGCGTGAAGGATGCAGAGCAGGATGCACCGAACACGCAATTTCAGCAAGCGATTTGGTTTCCCGGACAATTCGTCACGATTATGCAAATATTTGTAAATTTACTTATTCTTTCTTCTTATCTATCCTAAGCGAATAGTTCAAACCCAAAGAAACGTGCTATTAGCGCGTTGCAATTTGATTCTTATTGTCCCAAAATTCACGCAACATTTGAATCTTGCGCCATTTGTGCAAAGTGTTGCCAAAGAAAAAAAAAAGCGTGCCAGCTGACAGTTCAGGGTTATTAAAAATGGAGCGCTACCCGAAAGAACAACGCGTTTCCATTGTTGAGCAATATCTTAAAAATAACGAAGGTTTGTCTGTTTTCAATCAAAATTACTTCTTACGTGAATTTTGGGACACCCTTTGTACCCGCATACTTGTTGAGACTGTACAGGACGAGAAAATGAAAATTTTCCTACGACATTTTTTAATAAACAGGAAATTTAGTTCACAACGTGGGAGATCAGATCATGCGTCAGCGGTAAATCTCGCGAGTTTCTGATTTGCCGTTAGTCGTCGCTCAGTAATAAACCTAGCAAGTTTCCTAATTCAATCTACCCCCGTTGATGATAAATTCTACGAGTCCGTGATTCGATTCGATATCTACGTCGGAACTTAATGCGAAATTGATGATTCCTACCCATCGCATGTTCGCATTTGGGAAACATTAAGGATATTAATGGATACTAAACATTAATGGATAGATATGAAAATAATACGCAATAACTCGATGCCGTAATTAATTCTCGAATTCGAAAAATAAATATGGAATTAAATTTCCAGCGCTGTTTCATCGCTTATCAAGCTCTTAAATCTTCTCCGGATTCTTTAACAGTGATTCGAGTTAATTTGTAGGAAAATAAGTAATGTAACATTAATATCCTGCAATTTAAATTTCGCTGATAATTACTATATTAACGCGTGCTTTCCCAATCACGTGTCTGACGGATTCGTTAATTAACGAGGCGTTGGTAGATCGAAAAATTTCGATTTTAATGAGCTTCGCATACCGAGGAATCTTCGTAGACGAGAAAGCTATACGGTACGTAGGCTCGCAGAAAATGAGAAAAGAGAATATAAGTACCATAATCTGGCATAATCGAGTACCCTCAGCCGAGAAAAATTCAAGAAATATAGCCTGCGAGTACTAAGAAACAGTAAATTACATAGTGAATCCAATAGAGATGATTTCCAGACTTCTAGACTTTTAATTAAAAAAATATTTCTCCATGATGGATTTTTTTAAACGTTTAATATATTGTATATACGAAGAAAAAAAATAATATCATAAGAAAAAAATGGACACAAAATAAAAGAATATGGATAAAACTATTCATAAGAGAAGCTTCAAGATGGCTGCAGGTACATAATTAATGTATTTTTTTAGATGTTCTTTATAAAGATTTCAAATAAAATTTTCTTAAAATATATACCAAATGTTCTTATATTTCACGTAAAATTAGAAAAAATGCCTGTAAGTAACTTCTGCATAATATGTACCACATAGTTTTTGTTTCTGTGTCACTTCATCGACGACACCATTCCGTTTTCACGTGATAACGTTGGCACAACACGAGATCGATTAAACAGTATCCCACACGCATATACACGCACGCGTCTATCTATACATATAGTTAGTGGACACGCACGTCATCATGGTTATGTAAAAAAAAAATTTATATTTTTCCCTTCGGGGAGAAAAAATAAAATACAGAAGGTAATTTATTTTTCAAATATTCAGAAAGACAACGCCCCTTTTTCCAGATAAAAGAAAGATTGAAACTTTAACCACCCTAAGCGATATAGCCCCTGATCGATATCTATATCTTACTTGTCCTTGATCTCATACTAATAGCTGACAGGAAAAAATGTACGATTTAATAATCCTGCCCACGCCACCGTTTTGCGCGGTCAATTCGAATGTATTCAATCGGACCAATCACAAAAGATATTGGGACACTACAATTCGCGTGATTAATGGCTATCATATAAACTTTCCCATACAAATTCGGATTCCTATGCAACTTGTCGAACAAATTTTTAAATTAAAGATAATTGTGCAGCTATTATTCAAAGCTTTGGTATTTTGAAACAATGAAATAACTAACACAAAGAAATAGTAATATTAGATATTAATTTTGATTTTTAATGTGAGAACAGTTTATCCAGTTGGACTATTCACTAAGAGTAAAACAATCACAGAATAGGTAAATAATAGTAATCAACGATGGAACCATTAGATTACACCTAAATTAGTGATCGAAAACTACAGAAAATAATTAATATGCTGTTGGGTAACCTTCGTCGTATACAAGAAGTGTAGCTGTCAAGTGAGCCTCGCGTTTGAGACACTTGTGCGTTCGCAAAGAGAAAAAATGGCATCGGTCTAATTTCCACATTTAACAAAATTAATTGTAATTATGCAGAAATTAGGCACAAAATTAAACTGCTATATGTACAACCAACCAAAATCGTTAATTTACCAGTAATAGTTGGTTTGAATCTGTAGTTTACCCCACCCAAAAACAAACGATTAAATTACATCATGATGGCATTATGAATAATTTTTGCACAATTCTAACACATTAATTCGACATATTGTAAACAAAAAAGATTTCAAATTATTCTTTATTTCAATAATCTGTATTACTACGAAAAAAATTGATTTTCTTTAAATTATCATATATATAATAAACAATGAAATACAAACGATATAAAATTAAATCTGTTTATGATTTAAACAATTATTGTTACAGTGTCATATTGTATACATCAAATTTTTATGAACAAAAACGATTTTAAAATATCAAACGTTCATTGAATGACTATCGTTTAAACATGAGTTTGTTAATAAATCACTGTACCAATGATGAATTCGAAATTCAATTCAATTTTTCTAAAGCAATCTTTCGAATGGCTCAAAAATTAAACCTTTGCCTTGTTCTTTCTTTGTAGTAATATCATGTCCAACGATATACTCTAACCTTAATTTGACAAACATTCTTGATATCTATTACACAAAAGGATCTGTAAAATGAAATCCAAAAATTTTGCAAGGATACGCGCCAAATCTTTTCTAGGTCATTCTACAGAGACAGGGCATGCACGGTTCCACAGCTGATTTTATTGTCTGAAGCAAGAAAAATTCATAATGCCAAGCGTTGTGGTCAGAAAATAAACAGGACGAATATTTTGAAGGAAACTAAAATCTACTTACCGCGATTAATCACTGTTAATTTACCGCGTAACTGTATGCGAACTCGTCACAGAAATCACAGCACTGACACCACACCAAAACATCCCCTGCGAACGACTGATTTTTATCGAACTGGCCGCGGCGAAATGCAGCTCACACTGCCACATTGCCATCTTTCAGCAACTTCCGTAACCATTTCACGTCCATCGAACAGCGACGCTGACTCTTAAATGTTTCCTGCGCATGCTTGAAACTCTTCGAATTTAACCTTTTATCTTTAACAAATAATATAATAAAAAGTGCACAGTATACAAATTTATGACAAACCAAAAAAAAAGAACATATTATAATAACAATTATCATTTTAAATATTACTTGTTCATCTTTATTAAATATTTCTTAATTTTAATAATAAATATAATATAATTTTACTGTAAATATAATGCCGATAACTTTAAGATATGATCATAGAAAGAGCAACTACCTATCAAACAGACATTTTGCATTTCTTCTTCAAGTATTTGTTCTGATACTTCTTTACTACTTAAAAAAGACCAATCACATCCATATGCTATACTTTCATGCTCTTTATACTCGCCAATAATAGACGGAGTTTCTATTTTTTCACAATCGACTACTTTAAATCCGCTAAACATGCAGGCTATTAGTAAATATTTATGCTTAAAGGGATCCCATTTTAAACGCCAAACACCCCCATTGACATTAATATCTGATATAGGTTGTTTGAAATTTCTTGTATCCCATAATTTTACTCTCTCATCGTAACTGAAATATTATAACAATTTTGACAAAAATTATGATTTTATTTCTTAATTTTATTATTACTTTAATACGACACCTTCCAGATGACAATAAATATTCTTTTGTTGCATTACAATGGATACTCGTAACACCGGCATCGTGAACTTTATTTGATGTAGTACTAGTGTTTGTTCTGCTATCGATACATTGAAATATACAGTCATCGCCACCTTAAACATAATTATTATTACAACGTATTTAATTACTTGAATAGATTTCTATTTCAATTATTTTCATACCACTATATATTATATTTGTATTCCAATAATCGAAAGCTGTAATCCATGCTTCATATTTGTGTGCAGACCATGAATTAATTTTATCAAGTTTGCTTTCATTTAGTTCCAATAATGATATACAACCTTTTGAGTCACTAACTACGATTTTTGCACCGAATTCATTAATATTCTTTAATCCTCCAGTATCCCAATCCAAAGATAATGCAAGTATGTTATCTTCATCAGTAACTCTTTTTTGGGTTAATATTTCTAACTTCATTTTTTTATCATCACTTTTAAGTTCATAAATTTGCAGATATCCTAAAAAGTTTACAACACCGAGTAAAATTTTATCCTGACATGTGACATGTGCCCATTTCATATCCAATACGGCAGGTACTTCTAATTTTTGTAATAATACTAAATGTCCATTTTGTATAACTTGAAATAAATAAACTGCTCCTAAACGTTTCTGTGACAATGAATTAATATGTCCTTCTAGTAATTGATATGTTCCACAAACAAATATATTATTGAAAGAATTTATTGGGCACCATTCAACTGAATCAGCAGATAATTCTGTATCAAAAGTATCCAAAGTGCGAAACATACTTGACTTTGTGTAACCTGTAACATGAAATTAAATTTGAAAGTGCTAAGAAAATACAAAAATTAAAATCATTTTAAGGGAAACATTATGGAATTTACATGCAAAATTCTTTATTTATATAAATATTACAATTAATGGAAACTATATAAATATGACATACAATATTTAAACGATTACAAATTTAGAATTATTTATTTGCATACAATTACATTTGTATATTGCTATTTCCAATAATGTTTACTATTGTTATTATTTTTAGTATAAAAAAGAATTTATTTGAAGGCATTTGATATGACTTGTTTTTATTAAATACTAATAAAGCCTTAAAAATTGGAAGAAACATTTATAAAAATTCTACATAATTCATTCATTCATATTGAAAATTTGACACACCAAAATTTTCTAATCATGTATAACTTGTACTTTTTGGTCAATATGTATTATTACCATTAAGATCATATCATAATTAATTTTTAGGAACAAGACATGATCAATGTTTCTTATACATAGTAAATTCTTATATTTCTGAGCAAATATCATATAGATATTATAGGAACTTTTTATCTTCTCACTTTAAATAATTTCATAATACATAGTTATTTAAGTACATACAATATACTTTTACATATCTTATTCTAAGTATATACTGTTAGGATTTAATACTACATTGGTTCTTTACAACATAGTTTCATCAGTTCCCTTAGATCTGCATTGCATTTGGAAAATATATTTGTACTATCGTTAATCTAATTAAAACCTTCACTTTGTCTGAAAGTATCATACTAATATAGAGTTGATACATATTTCTTATTTTTAAATGTGATGAACATACCATTTGATACATCTGTAATTGTTAATTACAGTTATATATAAAAGAATTTTTATGACATACTTTGTACTTATTATTCGTATAAAATTAATTACACTTGTGACTAATAAATTATGGCATACAATAATTAATTTCATTGTACTCTTTGGTAGTATAAAAATGAATAAATAATTTCCTATCATAAAATAAATATGTGATGTATAATTTTTTAAGTGAGTTTTTAAATAATAATGAGAAGTTTTGTAATTTTAATTAATGAATTTGTTAAGTTTCTGTGCAGTTACAATTTAATATCATCAACATTTGAGGTAGATAAATTGTTATTCTGGTTTTTTTATTCTTTAGTATGCAAATGCAATACTATTTTTGGTAAAAAATATAAGTCTTCTATGTTATAATTAAACCTATACCTCTGTAGCTCTAGAATATTTGGTCAATTACAGATTGTTATGTATAAAATTACTTAAAAGTTTTGCTCTACTGACGAGCACTTTTTTCAGTTTCAATTAAACATTCCCTAACTAAAATACGTGCATGTACAATACCACGCTTAATTTTTTCTATAGAAGTACGACTGCCAGCATAGGTAGGTCGAACTTCATGACCAAGTTCTTCTATGACATTAAGTAGTTGTATATATTTTGATTGACCAGGTACAAAAGGAACAGTTTGTTGGAGGGCTCTTGGATTTGGTACACTCAGTAATGGCTCTGTAACCTTTGTTGAAACTTCTATATTTCCTCGTTCTTCTTCCATCTTCTCTTTTTTTTTTTTTTTTTTTTTTTTTTTTTAAATAAATATCCTAACAAATAATTTATGAAGAGAATCTAAGTTATAAGTAATAAGCTACATATCACAAGACGGTTGTTACAATTGATCAATATACTACTTGCACCTCGAAAAAATCTTAATTTTTTATCACACAAAACAAATGAAATTCATATAAAAGAACACAATTTTAAGAGCTGAAGATCATGCAATAAAAGTATAGTATGAATATGAATTAAAATAAAAAAAACGCTGATATAACCTTGAATTATATATGTAATTATATTTCACAATTTATGGAACTCACCTTAACAAATACACTAACAAAATTTTACGCAATAAAGAAATAAGTACAAACAAAAATTAAGTGTAATGTTCTACAAATTCATAAAACTATTGACTTCTATCCACCGCTCCTACTATGTACACACATGTACCAACATAAAAGTAACCAAAATTTAACCAACGCTTCAACAGAAAGGAACTATATTCTGTAACATATCGCGCCGAATTCAAAGTAATTATATACTTTGGTACAAATATACAAATTTGATTTAAGGGTATAAAATCAATACACAATATTGTACAAAACTGTTTTTTTTTTTTATTTAGTTATACCTTGTAGTCAGTAATATTCAAGGATTATACTTTCCATAGGTACATTTCATTTGATCAATTTTTTTCCTGCATGTATACTGTAGGTAATTACTAGGTACCCATAGTTTCAACCAAAAATGCAATAAACTTTTCTTAGAAAATATGAATGAAGGCTCTTCAGTGTACAAATTTTCCCTGCCTAATATTACGTTTCCTACATGCTAATTGAAAACTTAATAAGAAGGAATAATTCCTTCATAATTTGCATCTTTGCATAGAAAATGGTCATCTTTACATTCTTTCTAATAAAAATAATGAACAAAAACGAAAATGAATTTTTTTCCTTTCATTTAATTTATATCCAATATTATGCGCTATTGATTGATTAATTTTCTTTAGGCATCCACAAAAGTGCATATTTTAAGTCATTTCATTTGTTATTGAAAGTGATATTAAGTTATACAGCTATTACTTTCTCAATTTTCTCATTATTTAAAAAGATCAGCTGCTTACACTTTCTTTTTATTAAACATACAAACTAGTAAGATCGTATAAAATATGAAATAATAAATGTTATATATTTTATGCACATTTTTGTAGATGCTAAGACACTCCCTTTAAAATATACTGCTGTACTTCATACAATGTACATATTATTACTTTGTAAAATAATCGACTAAAAATCTAATCGCTAAGTATGTCGGCAGATCATTGCCGTGCGTTATGTTCTGTTTCCAATAGACATTCCCGTACAAGAATTCTAGCATGCTGAATACCCATCTTCAAGCGTTCAGCTGCGCTGCGACTTCCAGCGTAAGAAAGGCGTATGTCTCTTCCAAGCTCTTCAATAATAACCAATAACTGAGCATATTTGCCCTGACCAGGCACAGTAGGAAAATTTATTGTACTGGATGGGCTGGCCTGTGCTACTTGAACAGTTTGAACATTTTGCAAATTTCTTGGGTTTGGCACAGTGATCACAGGTTCAGGAATTCGTGGAATTTCTGGTACCTTTGGTGGTGGTGGGTCATTTAATTTTGTTATTGTTATTTCATTTAATTTAGCCAACTCAGTTAATTTTGCCATTTCTGCCATTTTCGAATATTCAGGCATCTTTGTAATATCGTTCTGCATGTTTGCCATTTTAATCATTTCATTCATTTTTGTTTTTTCATTCATTTTTGCAATTTCTTTAGCCATCTCATTAATTTGCGCAATTTCATTTAATTTGGTTATATCATTATTATATTTTGCCATTTCTGTCATTTTTACCATTTCATTAAGTTTGGCTATTTCATTCATTCTTTGAACTTCATTAATCTTTGCCATTTGAGACATTTTCATCATTTCATTCATTTTCGCGATTTCATTAATTTTTGTGATATCATTGTATTTAGCCATTTCAGAAAGTTTCACCATTTCATTCATTTTGGCAATTTCTGACATTTTTGCAATTTCTTGCATCTTCATGTATTCTGTTGTTTTAGCATATTCTGCCATTTTTTCCATCTCGTATCTCTTAGCCATATCCTGAGACATTTTATTTAATTCAGTCATTTTGCTAAATTCAGCAAGTTGAGCCATTTGAACTATATGTTCTGGGACTTTTCCTCTTTCCATCATTTGTTTTAATTCTGCAGAAATTTTATTCATATTCATTTCTGACATTTGAGCTATCGTTGCTGCATCTGGCATTTTTGACAATTCAGCAATTTTGGAAATTTCTCTTGCTAAATTTTCATCTAAGCAACGCTTCTTTTTAGCACGATGCCTAGCCATACGCTGAGCTTCTTGCATTCTTCTTATTGCTGCCTGCTCTTCTGTTTCTTTTGCCCTGGCGTTCTTCATTCTTTCAGCAGCAGAATATAATCTAATAGCACGTTCTTCTAATGTTTCTGATCTTAATTTTTGTCGTCTATATTCTCGCATTTCTCTTACCTTTTTAAGGTAAGATTTCTTCTTAGCCTTAGGCATAACATGCAATTACGCACAATATGGGTACAATCATCTATATAGACTGTCATTTTTATGAATTTCAAATACCAGACTCTTCAGAAAATATACTTTGTGCATACGTTATTGGTTAAGCGTAACTAATTCTGTTTTCTTTCCGATAATAACTAATTATTCTTACATATCTCCTCTTCATATGTGAAATAATTTTTTATTATTTCTATATTTTAGGAATTACCTGTAATAAAAAAAACCATAAAATTGATAAAAATCTTCTGGTTAAAGATTTTCAGATAAGATAAAAATGATTCATTTACATATTTTGAAATATAATAAACATTGTCATTGCATATTTAATTAGAAACGATTCAATTTTAGAATGTCGCGGCTATGAATGCATATAAGTTCTCATTAAATAAGATTATGGGTAACAACATTTAATAATTTATTTACACCAGCAAGAAAAGGATATCAACCTGACGATCTCTCTTAAGAAATACCGTGACGACTTTCTTCACTGCAGAAAGCGAGAAATATTAATATTAATTCGATTTTCAATGTCTAAAAAGACGCGGGTACCAAGCTCAAAAAATTTCATAGCACGTGCGCAAAAATTGAGCGGCGAATACTGTTTTCGAAATTGTGTATATAGGTGTGCGTGAACGTGTCGGCTACCTGTGCCGTGTTGCTTTGTGTGTGCGTGTCTCCCAAAATTCGAAAGAAGAGCGT